TTACAGCAATATCATAAAACAAAGACATCATACATCAAAATCATGAAATCCAGATGCCGAGTTTTTGCCGGCGTTAACGTCAATCCACGGGTGATCAACTTCTCCGCCCGCATCTGGAATCTCAGGCCCGACTTCAACTGAATCTGGCGACACGACAATAGGGTTCCACTGATTCCAGATTTGCACCTCAGGGTTGAGAAATTCGGCTTTCTTCCTCTCTCGTTTAGCCAAGTGCGCCTTCTGTTTGGCAAACTCCGCCTCATACGAGTAGTCGGGACGCTGGGTGAGATGAAATCCGCCAACTACGCCTCGGCATTCACGATAATCGCCACTAGCCCGTTGCGCATCCTCAAACTCCGCATACAGAGGCACAAACCGTTCACGCCGAACCATCATCTCTGCAGCAACCTTTCTCTTGCCTGCTCTACGGGCGCGACAAACTCTCGCGCCAGAGAGCTCAAGAACGCGACGAAAATCAGCGTCATACTCTTCCCTCACACCGGCAGCCTCCCTTCTAGCTAAATCCTAGGCGCGAGAAAGATTGGCACCGATCTCTTCTTTGAGACGAGCGGCCTCCATCTCCGCCGCCTTTGTCCTAGATTCGGCCTTACGAATCTCTGCATCACTTGCGTTCACCGCCTCATTCATAAAGCGAAGACCCTGCGAAACAAGGGAAGTCTTTTGTCAAAAAATCTGGTCACACGTAAAACAAATACGAAAATTGGCAAAAGGCAGACCCTGTTGAAAAGTCTCGACGCCTTCGCAAACGGCGTGTTGGCTGGTATCTCGGACGACGTTCCGGCCGGATCAAACTCTGATGAGGGAGCCGAGAAGTCGATGAAATCTTCAATGTTAAGGTCTTCGTCAAGCCACTGGTCTTGACCAAATTGAACATCTTTATCCTACGGAGATCTAGATCTCTCCCTCGCTACCGTATTGTCGTATGCCTCAATCTCGACACGATTATCCTGAGAAAAACGGGAAGAGTAATAGGCAACGGCGCGACGAACTCTCTTCGGAGAAAAGAATCCCCAATGAAGCGGACCGCCGCAGAGAAGGTTCTTAACCAACCTGAGGTCCTCAAGTAACGGCACAAGGGGGCAGGCACTGTAAAACACAAATCGAACGCAAAGATTAAAGTGTGGCAACAAAAAATATATACATATATTACGCAATCTAGGTACCTTTTGTTTCCCATTTGGTCCTAAATGAAGAAATGCAAATCTCTTCCACCGATCCGCTATCAATCTTAACATAGAAGAACCAATCTTTCCACTCGTGACCATTCGAGGCAAGTCCATCGATAACCGACATCTCCTTCCGAATGGATAAGTAGAAACCGCCCTTGGTCGCCCGCTTGAGAAACAACATAGCCACAAGATAGTCCGCGTTGAGAGACATTCCGCGTTCGTAACCCAGCACCAAAATCCCGACAATGTGATGTAACGCGGAGAGACAAAGCTGGCCGATCGACAGTTTAAACCGATCCAAGAGCCCAAAGATGGCTTGCGGAATTGGGAACCACAGTTGGCAGTTGAATAGGAAGACTTCATAACACGTAAAGTAGCCCGAGGGAGGGTTCGCGGCATCTAGACCCCATTCGGGAAGGCGAAACTCCACCGAATCCGGAATCGCACGAGAATTCCTCTAATCCCTGAGGGAGCGAACGATACACGCGCTCGAACCTTCCTTCTTCCTCTGAAGCTTATCCCTCTTTGGAACCCAGAAGCTAGGAGGAGGAGCGTCGGCAACACCCCAAGCTGCCCAATACTTCGCGGTTTCTTTCTTACTCACGGAAAATCGTAGAAAGACTGGTTTGGGGAGGGCACAGCCACCGGGAGTTTCGAGGTCACTTGGATCAAAGATTGATGTGTGAGCACTTTGAGAAGCTTTCCATTCGGAAGACATGTTGAGAAATCAAAAGAGGAAGAGATTCAAAGGGAAAAGGGGAGAGAAAACTTCTTGAACCTTAGATAAGTTATGGAAGGAAATGAGTAAAGAATTTGAAAACTCATTCCATATACTTATAAGAGAAATTTTTACTATTCAACTTTGGACTTTTGGCCATTAAGTTCCGCCTAATTCTACAAAACTTGCCGAACAAGTTCAAACTGCTCGCAAGAACTCCACGATTCTTACGAGCTGGGGAGCTAACTGTTGGGGTCAAAATCAGTACGACGGAATCAATGACCAAAACTTTCCCCGAAAAACAAAAATACGTTTTATAAAACTCGAGAAGTTTTTTTATAAAATTCTAGGGACTTTCCGAACAAAGAAAATCCGCAGAAAACTTGGAAATCGTCATCTCGGAAGAACGAACGAAACAATCGCGGATTACGCGATTGCCCAAGTTAAGCAAAACCCACAAAAAACCGCATCCGCCGTAAACCGCGAGCAGGTTCGACCGAACCAAGTTCAACATACGACAAGCCGAACCAGCCGGTTCAGCTCGCTGTACGGCGAGCTGGTCGCCTCAACGCAGCTCGCCGTACGGCAAGCTGAAGCAATCCGAATCGGCTCTCCGTACCTCGAGCTAACCATCCCGAGCCTCGATCTCCCACGTCCTCGACTCAAGGAATACGTCCTTCATCTCGATCATGCTCTGAACCATGGTCAAAACATCTTTCGTCTCGATCCGTCTTACCGTTCAAATTTTACGATAAAAATCGTAAAAGTCTTCTTTTCTCGTAAAAGTTTGGGAAGATCGTATAAAACGGCAACGATTAGACAGAACATCGTGCATTGTAAAACTATGCGATCAACTCAAGAAATCTTATAAAATTTACATCTTATTAGGAAACGATCTCGTCTAAAATCGTAAAACGGTTTTTATCGCAAAACGGCTCGGACAGCCCAAACTCGCGATAAAAGTCCACTTGTGACTTCAAACGAAATCTAGCCCAAAGATACAATGACGTTTTTAAGATTTACTCGCAGAAAGAAGATAAATGTCAAGTTTGAAGATATATGTCAAGTTTGAGGATAAATAGAAGATTTCCGCGCAGAAAAAGGAAAGATCGAGATAAATGGTAGATTCCCAATAAACTTAAATCTTGGCGAAAAGGAAGGACTAAACCGCCTAAAGGAGGGAGTATATAAGCAGAAGGCAGAGGCCAGAAGCAAAAAACGGGATTTCAGAGCTTTCACCACAAAACTTAGCACTTAGGAATATTTCCGTTTTCGTTATCGAGCTGCGTCTCAACTAGGGTTTTAGTCTTAGATTGCTAGGGTTAGGAATCTCGCCGACGGCTCACGCAGCTAAGGCTTACTCTTGTTGTACCGTTCTTACGCGAATTCGGAATAAGAATCCTTTTGCTCTCAATCTCGTTTTCTTTACATCTCTTTAACTTAATCATATTAATCGCGTTCTTGATTGCTTGTGTGCGGTTCCGCAAATAGCCGGGTCCTCTAGGAAGTTAGGGTTTACTCTAAATTCTCATATTTACGTAATCTTGACAGTAGGTGAATTTCGGTTCCCACACCTTCCAAAGTTCATTTGACGTTTTTCCAGTTATCTTATGAGGTATTTTTTTGAGGATATAGTTAGTAATGAGCAGTGCTGCCCCCCCCCCCCCAGATTACGGGCAAGACCAGATTCCTGCATCATTGCGTTCATCGTTTCTTTCAAAGTTCGGTTCTTTCTTTCCGCAGTTTCGTTTGATTCTGGTGAGTATGGAGAAGTTGTTTGATGGACAATGCTATTTTCTAGGAAGAACACATTGAATGGTCCATCACATTTACCTCCTCTATCACCTTTGACTATTCTAATAGTATTTTTCAGTTGTTTTTCAATTTCGAGTTTGTACTCTTTGAATTTGTCCAAGACTCCGCCTTTACTTCTTAATAATTAGATGTAGCAGTATCTTATGCAATCATCTATGAAAGTCACAAAGAACTTTTTACCACCTCTGGTTTGTAAATAATTTAAGCCGCACATATCAGTGTGTATTAAACCTAAAGGTTTGGTTGTTCGTTCAACACGAGGTGATGTTGTTTTCGCGAGTTTTTCTTGGACAAAAACTTCACATGTCTTTGTTTAATTTGGACTTTGGAATCATGTATAAGTTCAATAGTTTTTGTACATACTTATAATTTACATGGCTCAATATTTTATGCCAAATATTATAAGATTTAACGACATATGCAACTGGATTTTTGTTCACTGAAACATTGAAATCATATACATCATTTTTTTGAATGAGTCATTATAGACTTCTTGACAAGTCCATTCTTAACGACACATTTTCCTATAGAAATACCACTCTTTCTAAGGATCAGCTGGTCAGATTCGAAGTTGATTCCAAAGCTGTGCTTACTCATAAGAGATCCGGAAATTAGAAACTTCCTCATGTCTGGAACATGCTTCACGTTAGGAAAATCCTGATTGAAAATCAGGAAACATAAATCGATATAATTTCCGGACGTGAAGCATGTTCCAGACATGAGGAAGTTTCTAATTTCCGGATCTCTTATGAGTAAGCACAGCTTTGGAATCAACTTCGAATCTGACCAGCTGATCCTTAGAAAGAGTGGTATTTCAACTGTTTTCCTATAAACTCGTTTTATTATCCTTTCATATTTTCCGCATCTTTTCGGTTACTTGGCGTTGGTTCTTGCATAGATCCGGGACCTCTGAAAAATTAGAGTTTTCCTAACTTTCCTAATCTAAACAGAAATTGACGGTATGAATTTCGGTTCCCACAAAGACTTTTGTTTTAGATCCCAAATGACATTTCACATTTTTCTTCACACTATAACAAAAAATTACACAGCCTAATAGGCTTATAATTTTGGGTTCTAACACCCTCATCATGAGTCATGACCACACCAACCTGTGTATGGACTAGACTAAAGCTTCTCTTCTACAAGGATCACTAAGTTTCATATTTAGCTGTTTAATCATTATTGCTCTGTTTATTTACTTAGCTTTGATTGGATCTATGTATAGCGAATCCATTATAAACAGAAACAAAAACAAAAAAACTTGAGAAGTAATAATACTCGGAATGATGAATTTTCTAGATGCAAACGTTGATGGATAATGCCAGTTAATAAAGAAAGAAAAAAAGATCAACAAGAGTAACTATCCAACTAAAGAAAATGTCTTCTTGATAAAAATGCAAAGAGATCTTTAATAACTAGCTTCCTTGTTCTCAGATCTCCTCCATTGTACCGGCGGCTCCAGGTCTTCCTCTCCTCCATGGAGATTCTCTTGTCCCATTGGTTGCATCATAAACTGTCCTTCACTTTGCTCTTGACCTTCCTGTGATGGAGGTTGAAGCATGAGCTGTGTCTGAAGCTGGTCATGGTTGATACGATGCTCAATCTCTTGACCCATCTGATAAGCACCAAAGCTTCCTAAAGCAAGAGATGGTCCAGAAAACGACCCATCAGCAGTGTGAAAGTTATACCCGGTGGCTGTAACCGACCCGTTGTTGTCCATTCCATAACCATTGAACATCCCTTGTGGCATCTGCTCATCTTGCTGTTGTGGTTGATGCTGAGACAAGTTTGGTTCGTGTATGATCAATGGTCCTTCTTGAGGAATCACGCAATGTGGCATTCCTTCCATAGCCATCATGAAACTGGGTGGAGCGATGTTGGCTAGAGGAGGGAGATAAGTTTGTTGCGGAATCATACCATCGGGTCCAATGTAACCTGCAAGCTCTTCTTTAGCAGTGACAAGATCTTGTTGGATTTTCTTGTGATACTGTTGTAAGAAGGAGATGGGACCAACGCATCCATAGATCGGATCACGGATAAGTGCCTCGGCTTCATAGTATAGAGAATTAACAGCGTCTTCGCGGTTAAGAGGTGGGAGATCGTTGAGGATTTTGGTTACATTGCTTGCTCCAAACACTCTGTGAACAGAGATAAACTTTTGAGGCTGAGTTGGTGGAAAATACGGTGCAAAGACGCATTCTTGAGTGCATTTTCGTCTCAAGAGCTTGCAAGCTGCACAAGGTGTCGAGGCCATTCTCTCTCAGCATCCACACTGTCAATAAAACGGAATTGAGATATAATCATTATTGTCAGAACAAGGAAAATGGCATGCAAAACTATCATACTTAAAGGAATCTTGTTGCACAAGAAATAATCTTAGCTTGGGACACAAGAATTACAACATTTAATAGTTAAGTCATCCTTTGGAATGAAGAATGAACATCAGATCAGATCAACTTCCACCGAAAAACAAAATTATGAATAATTTTCAGCCAAAACAATCTCATTAAGTAAATTTCTTTTTGAGAAGATTAAAATCAAGAAAGCGTACGCCGATCGTTTGAGACCACCGATCCCTTTGCCGTTGAATCTTTGATGATGTTACCTGAAATTATATATCTTTTTGAAAAAAAATTGAAAAAAAGTTTAAGAAAATCTGAAATAAAATATATAAAAATGTTTACTCGGTTTTTGGGAGTGAGAGATTGATGGAGGACAAAAAGAAGAAGAAGAAAAAGACAGATTTTCCAAGTCCAGTGCCTGAGGAACCGTGAGAATTGATAGAAACTGAGGAACAAATGACGGAGGCAATGATTTTCCCAAAATAAAAAATGACGGAGGCAATGTTTCTGAAAAAAAATTTCCAAGGAATAGATAAAAGGGATCCACAAACCTTAAAAAGAACTCGTACGGTTTACGCAAGTGTGGTGAAGTCTTGAATCTCAACCGTTCATGCAAAAAGAAAATTCGTTTATTATTATTTTTTTTTTTGGAAACTGCAATCTATAACATTATTTGAGAAGTAAATTTGCTTAGTTGTCAACTTCTCCATGATTTTAGGTAAATTTGCTTATTTTCATGTTTTAATAATTTATTATATAATAAAAACGAAATTATGTTAATAATATTATATTTTTGAAAATATGTTAATTCTTTTGTATTAGATTGTTATATTAAAAAAATATTTTTCAATTATTATTAGAAGTAAAAATTTGCTTAGTTGTCAACTTCTCTATGATTTTAGGTTATTGGTTATTTTCCTGTTTTAATAATTTATTATAAAATAAAATAAAAAGAATTTATGTTAATAATATTATATTTTTAGAAAATATGTTAATTCTTTTGTATTAGATTGTTATCTTAAAAATATATTTTTCAATTATAAAATTTAAGTGAATTTGCTGATTAATTTGTAACTTTCTGTGATTTAGGTAATCTCTACTATTATTTGTGAATGATTTTTTGCAACAAAGCTTTCACGTTGAAAGTTAGAACGGTTAATATCGTTTATACCCTTAATGAATAATTAAAAATTTTAATATAATTAAACATAAATAAAAAACGAATTTCAATGATTTTAGATTTATCTTTATCTAAAACAATTTTATATTGGATTATAAAATTTTTATTAACCTTGAACAATAATTATATTAGTTAATATACTTGAAAAATAATTATATTAGTTAATATATAATTAATTATAAATTAAAATCGAATTTCGTTTATTTCATAATTATCCTCATTTTATTTTTTTATATTATGTGATAAAGTCTTTATCAACCTTGAAAAATAATTATATTTGTTAACATATAATAATTCTAAATTAAAAAATGAATCTCATGAATTTGATAATTATCTTTATCTAACTTTTTTATATTGTGTTATAAAGTCTTTATTAACGTTGAAAAAATATTCTATTTATTATTATATCGTTAATTATGAAAAATCAATTTGCAAAAAATTTATGTATAGATAATTTATATTGTGTGTATCCAAAACATTATTAAAGATATTTTCTTATACTTTTTTGTTATGTCTAAAAATGATATTAATTTATTACTAAATGTTTTAAGTTTATGAGTATTTTCAAATATAAGTTGTGTAATGAAAATTATTTATATGATGATCAAAAATTTTATAAATAAAAAGAATTTGTTTAGTTTATTATTAAATATTTTGAGTCTATAAACAATAATTTATTATAATTTACATAACTTGATTATATATTTATTTATAGTTATTAGTAAAATTATTAAGCCCGCAAGTGCGGGCAAAACACCTAGTTCGTTTATTATTTGATAAGTTAGCTCTGGTAAAATCTGCATATCTAGTTCATGATTGTTGGTTTTGATATTTTAATTTTTAGTTTTTGGATATTAAGATTTTATATTTTAGTTTTCAGTTTTTGATTTGCTGTGTAGATTTTAGTTCTTCAAAAAAATTGAATGGTTATCAAGATTCGAGTTTTTTTATTTTAATTTTTTTTGGCATTTTCTGTATATATTTATTTCTTGAAAGTTTGTTTAGTAATTTATTTAAATTTAAATAATTTATCATTTTGTAATAACTTCACTTACGAGCTCTTTTTTTAAAAAAAAACTTAAATAAATATCCTTTTAGTAAATAATACCAATAACTTCTCAAATTATATAAATTTACATAAATTAATACCAATAAATAATTTTAAAATTGTAAAATATAAAGAAAATAATACTTTCTTTGACTTACTATTTTTTAAATGTTCTTATATATTATTTTCATATTATATATGTTAAACAAATTATTTTTCCTAAAAACTAATATCTATATTTTTAAAAATGGATTCTAACTAATAAAATATTAATAATAAAAATATTTACTTTAAAATATTAAAAAGAGAAATTTTATATTGTTACGTCTTATAGTTTATAGGCATGAAATAGTATGAAAACTAATTTTCCTAACTAATTATAAAATTTATGAACAACGACGATATATACATTTTCTTTTAATTCCTTAATTTCTTACATTGATAAGCTTACATTTTTAGGAGTTTTTTCTGTAATTCATTATATTAAAGAAAAAAAATATAATGATCAATTTATTATTAGGTAAAGTAGCATCCATCTATCATACTAGTTTTAGAACATTTAATCTTAGTTTTGGCTGTGACAGATATGAAATGGATGCTTATATATATAGTATCATTTTATTTTTAACCAAAAGAAATCTACATTATGGGGTGATTGGTAAATGCTAGGAATGCTTTCCACATGCTTTTTCATATAGCCACTTAAATTTACCAATCATGTTTTAAAAGAAAAAGTTACAACAGCCAAAAAAATTAAAATTAATAAGAAATTTTTGAACTTTGAAAATCACCTTTTCTAGAGCTTTATGTTCATTGCTTTGAAAGTTAGTGATATAAATATACTTTAATAAAATCTACAGTTACAGCGGAAAAACTTATCTAATCTTCTCTATTAATTTAGAGTCCTACTTTTTATCTACTATAATCAAATCTTAGTTAGACTATTACATTAGTTACTTATTATGACATATTTGGTTAATTATATTAATCAATCAAATAAATAAAAAATCTGTTGAGGATTTTTTTATAATTATAAAAAAATTGTTGAGAAAAATCTAACAAAATCTTACTAAAACTTTTGAATATTTTATAACAAAATACAAGAATTAATTTCTTAATTAATAATATAATCTTATTATACCTTAATATTAAATAAAATTTTATTATAAAAAATAAATAAAATTTTAAAAAATTCATAGTTATAATATATATTATATTATAATATAATCTAATAATATAATATTATTATACCTTAAATTTGTTAAACTATTTTTACAAAATTCATAGTTATAGTATATATTATATCAAAAAATAATATGAATTAAATTAAATAATATTATATAAATTTTTTAAATACTTGCATTTAAATAAACAAATAAATAAATAAACTATAATTCACTTTTAAAAAAGCTAAAATACATAAACTATATATATTTTTATGCAAGAAATGTGCTAACTTTGTTAAACTTTTATATCTACAACTATATCTAAAAAGTATATCTACAAAATAAAATGTATGTAACTAAATTTTATTTCATGTGTTATTTACAAAATTGAATATCATAAAATATTAATAATTCAAAAGTTATTAATTAAAAAATTATTTTTACTACAAATTTAGTATTTTTAGTTGTGACAAAATCATTTGAGAAATATAAAAATATTACCAAAAAGTTTCAAATATGTTTTTATAAATTCAAGGTCATATAATCTCTCAAACTCAAATATATTTCTGTATTTATCAAAAAAAATCTTGACCAAATATAAATTTTTTAAAAAATAAACATTCTAAACTCAAGGTAAAAATATTCCAAATTTTATAAAACATAAAATCTTAGATACTAGAGTGTAATTGTTTTTTAAACTACAACACGAAAAAAACAAATACTATTGTAAAAATAAAAAGTAGTATAATAGTTTGAAATCGTAACTTAATAACAAAAAAATTATAGAATTTAATACCATAAAATCCAAAAGTATCTTATATCGATAAAATTTACTAAAATAATATCATACACACTACTATATATAAAAATTATCAAAATAATAAAATTAATTAAAAAGAACAATATATTTATTTATAAAATCCGTAATATACTAAAACGATAGATGTTAAAGTTAATTTTTTGAAACACAATATAACAACATGGAAATATAAATTATCCTAAATAAATATTATTTCGATAGTATGACGCAAGAAATTTCAAGATGTATTATATGCAAATTGTAGAAATTAAAAGAACACATTCTAAAGGAGATTTTCTATTTGATTATTTTATATAATGAATTTATTTTATTGTACTAGAAAATATATTAGTACGTATAAAATACATTAAACAAATTATTATAAATTAGTAATGTTGAATAACAGAGTACGAATTATAAAAAAAAAATCATTATATATTAATTATGTTAAATAAAAAAATCTAATCAACAAGATTATAAAATTTCACAATATATGACACTAATATATAAATAATATATTTAAAATTTATGTTATTAGGCCTGGGCTTTCGGGTCCTCGAGTCGGGTTCGGGTCGGGTCTTGTCGGGTTCAGGTCCTTCAGGTCCATGAGTGTAGGACCCATTCGGGTATTTTGAAATTATCGGTTCCGGGCCGGTTCGGGTATTGCCGGGTCCGGGTCGATTCGGGTCTACTTTTCTATGAACCGTTAAATACCAGCAACTTTTCGGTTCCTTAATAATTTCGGTTCGGTTAACGGGTTTTCGGGTAATTTTGGATAATTTCGGTTCGGGTTCATTTTTTCCGGTTCGGGTAATCGGGTTTTCGGGTAATTATGGATAATTTCGGTTCGGGTTCATTTTTCCGGTTCGGGTAAACGGGTATTCGGGTAATTTTAGCTAGTTTCGGTTCGGGTCATTTTAGCAACCCTGTTTACCCGAAATGCTTCCTTGTATTACAACCCTGCAATGTTTTAAAAAAACCTTCAAGCAAACAATTTTCATTACTAGTTTTTACTAACAAAGACATTACCGTAACTTGTAGACATAAGTTTTACAAAATAGTGGACATAAAAACTTAAAAACCGATCAAATGCAAACAAAAACAGAAAGTACAAAGTTGAAACAGCAACAACAACAAACTGATAACAACCACAACGTCTATAACAATCATCAGAACGTCAAGTTGTTTCTTCTATCACCATTCTCCCCTGCAGAAACTCTAGCACCTTGAAACACAGGTTCAAATTCTGAAAAACGAAAGCAAACAAGGTCAAG